ATTCCGGACTTTATTTTGGTGATAAATGATAGTAAACCATAAGACACTAATTCTCTGAAACTTTCAAATGGAGCCTACTCTTTGTTGACAAGTTATGAAGCCTCAAAGTTATCATTTTATATCATGTTTTTCAAAACGAATCTTTGCGAATAGCTTTTAGGCAAAGCATTTTTGAGAAAAATGTTTCAGGCAAAAGTTGTAGGATGTGAAAGGGTACACAAAATGATGACCTTTACTGTGACTTTGAAGACACTCCTGAAGGTCATTTGAAGATCAACTTTTGATTTTTAAATGAGAACTTTTATTTAAAGTAACGTTTGGGAGTGAAATGATTATTAGGAAGTATTTTTAGCGTTGTACGATTTTTTTTTACCGAGTTATTCAACATTAAAGCAAAAATGGTCCTTTTTGCTTCAATGTTGAATAACTCGGTAAAAAAAAATCGTACAATACTCAACAAAAAAGCAAATTGAAGGTAAAGATTCACTCTTTCAAAAGCAGTAAACTGCATTTGCATGCGACTTTTTATTCGCGCTATAGAACTTGTCAAAGTTCGTAAAAAATTTTGAGATTCGTCGGGTCTCCTTTTCTATCCGTGTAATTCCATGAAAAATCAGTAGGATCGTTTTATTAAGTATCGATTTGGAAAGTAGATATTTCAAGCTGTAAAATGCTTTTTTGATCATCTCGATACGATCATTTTTGACGAAGTTACACTAAACGCGCGTTTAGACATATTATTTTGATGTGTTTTATTATGCAAACATTGAAATTCTGATCTGATAAATAGTCGAAACGTTTGTTTATTATTATTATTATTATTTAAATTTATATTGGAGCATTAAACAGCTAGCTTAGACTCATAGACTATTATATTTTACATTTTTAATTTGTTAATTATTTAGCCTTGATTCTTTTTTTTATTATTTTTACATACAAAATAACTAGAGAAATTATATATTATACTATTATATATTATGTAAAAAAATTATATAATTCGGTGATCATCATCGGATCTTTTCGAAAAAATCGATTTTTTCGAAAATTGATTTTATCATTATTTATTCCCCTTTAGACCATACAACTTTTATTTGAAATATTTTTTGTAACAGATACGTTCAGTGATAATAGCTTCTAACATTTTAAATGTCCCACTCTGTACAAAGCAAAGCGTTCTGAAAAAAAACTGATTGTTTCTTTAGAAATCACGAAATCATGGTAACAAGCAAGGCACTATCTTCAAAAAAATATCTTTAATAAAAGAAAACTCCTACATTTTAAATAAATTTTGTATTGCAAATAATATTAAAATTTCTACATTTCAAATATAATAATAAAAAACACCCAAACAGAAAACTGTATCCATTTAGTCCTTTTCCCAGAAAATAAAGTGTCAAGCATGTAAGTAAAAAGCATACACTGATTGTAAGTAAAATATTGATTGGTTTCGTAGAAAGAAAAAGAAAGAGAGAGAGAAAGAGAGGCATGGGTTTTAATAATAATTTATTTATCTACAATAACTTTCTGTTTCGGAAAAAATATTCAATAGATTATCGACAAATAACAATAATCAACTAAATTATTGGAGATAATAGCGCTTGCCTCTTAATTACGCACGTGCTTAAACATTGCACATTAGGCAATTAATTAATATTACTTCCATCCGCATGTCAAGATTACATTACTAAGATGCTAAAATATCTACGAATTAAATTTGTTATTAAATCGTGTAAATGTTAATTGTCAATAAAACGTGTACTTCAGATTCCAATTTATATTACGAAGTCACAATTCATGTTCTATCTTTCACGATGAAACAGCTGCTCTTCTCAATGCAACGTTATCTTTAACCTCTAAATGCAATATTAATATTGCATCTATGATGACATATAATATAACGATGTTATAACATTATTATTTTGTGTGTGTGTGTGTGTGTGTGTGTGTGTGTGTGTGTGTGTGTGTGTGTGTGTGTGTGTGTGTGTGTGTGTGTGTGTGTGTGTGTGTGTGTGTGTGTGTGTGTGTGTGTGTGTGCGTGTGCGCGCGTGCGTGTGTGCGTAAATTCTATGGAAATTCTGTCATATTCAAAGAAGATGTAAATTATCATAAAATATTAATGTTAAATGTTTCACTAAATTCGGTATGTGAAAGATAAACTGCTGCGACTATTGAAATTTCATAATTACATATTTACATATTTATTTGATGCCTGCAAGAGGAAACATGGAAAAAATGATTACAAGCACAAAAATGTTTATAACATTCAACGCTGAGATTTAACGGTATAATGCAAATGTATAATTGGCACAGAATAATTATAATTTATGTTTTTCCATTTGTTTCTCTCGTCTTAGAAAGTTTTTAAATCAGATCTTTAAACAAATTTTAAACGTAACATAATAAGAAAGATATAATACAAAAAAGAAAAAAACAGTAATGTAAATATTTCTTTCATTACATAAATCGATTTGTTAATGCTTTCCAACTAATTCACAAAATATTATGGGAAATCCCGAAAAAACGAAAGATGAATCCGAGATAATTTTGACTGATTGTGAGTTAGCTTAGCACTCACGGCACAAGTTATGTAGTTCGTCGAAATGTTTCTTCGGAAACATAATTAAATTGCTCGCTGTGATTCAGAAACAATTTTGAGACCTTCAAAATTACGCGTGTTAGAGAGGACAGCCATGAACGTAGGTGACATTTCGGAAAAGCGCGGCCGCCGTCGAGAGAAACGCTGCCGTGGAAGCGGTGGATGGTGCTGACGGCGGCGGCGGTGGTGGCGGATGACTGGTTTGCGTTTGTGAGTTATATGGCGAGCAATAAGCATCTATACTACCGTGATGGAGACCCACGCTGCGCACCAGAAGATCCTTCTCGACGGTAGCTTGATGACGCAGCTGCTCCAATCGTAACTGGTTCTGCCGCTTCCACTTTGTCCTGCAACGAAATCGTGGCGCAAAACTGCCCCTTTCCCTCCCAAACTCACCCCCTTTGTCTTACGATAAATTTCTTCTACCTTCTGTTTTGATACCACGTCTTCACTTGGGTCTCCGAGAGCGACAAAGCGTCTGCGACATCGCTGCGATCCGCTACGCTGAGATATTTTTGACAACGGAATTTCCTCTCGAGGTATGCTAACTGAGCGTGAGTAAAAGCGGTTCGTCGTCTTCGTGGTTTCCTGCCGGTTGGCGGTGCACTATTGGCAATCACCCCGCAGGATTTCCCAGACGTGGTAGCTGGACCGGGCGATGGCGAAAGCGCCATTGGAGGACTACCTAAACGCGTGCAAGGGCTACTGCCAGGATCGATGGTGTCCTCGGAATCCGAATGAACCGCCGAATCGTTCTCCGAGTCTTCTGCAATATATTTTTGTTAAATTTATATTCTTAAGAATAATATTTTTCTATAACGAACTCTAACAAAGATTAAATAATAGATAACATTAAGTTTACAGCAAAAATTATTTTGAACCAGGCTAGGTGTTCCTCATAGATTTTTGAATGCTGAAAACAATGCTGCAAGTCAAACAAATCCAAACACATCATTTTCCGAGATTTAATATCCAAAAAATTTTTTCACAATATTTGACATTTTTTGTAAAACAGATTAACATTATTTTGAAATTCCGATCAAAAGTGAATGTATTGTTCCCCTATAAAATGCATTTTTTAAATTTTAATAGCTTACTTTTTAACCATGTTATGAAGAATTTAAATACAGAATTTTTCTAACAATAAGATAAATTTTACGTCTAATGAAGTTACTTGTACTTACAATTCCTAGTTTGTGCTTATCGATGCACATACACACAATGTAATTTATCGTAACAAATTCTGCTAAATATGTACACACACACACACACACACACACACACACACACACACACACACACACACGCAGGCACGCACACGTACACAAGATGTCTTATTTTAACTCATCTCAAATATCTTTAAGAGAATTAAAAAAATTTTTTCTTTAAAAAAATGTTTCAGACAAAAGTTGTCTGAAAGAGAAATGGTCTTAAGAGAAACAGATAATGGCAAAGTAGCCACCGACCATGCATGTCCTCATATTAGAAATAGCTCTTAGCTTAAATCTTTCATAACATGACTAAAAAAATAAGATATTGAAACAAAAAAATGCATTTTATAAGAGATGATCAATACATTCATAACTTCTGATTGAAATTTCAAGATACCGTTAATTTGGCTTCTTTACAAAAAAATGTCAAATATTGCCGAAAAAGCTATTGACATTATAAATCTCAATTATCTTTATTAGAAACCTAAAGTGCTGGAGAAATTTAGCTTGCGGCATCATTTTCAACATCCAAAAATCTTTAAGAAACACGTAGTTCGGTTCAAAGTAATAAAAAAAACATTTTTTTGTACAAGTGTAATTATCAGATATGATTCGAAAAGGCGTATTTTTTTAATGTTCCTCGTAATAAAATTATTATGAGATAAATTAGATTTGAAATCTCTAAATTCGTATCATTAATTTTTATTTTCTTCCGTCAATTTAACATAAATTAAATTTCGTTAATTTTTCTATTAATTAACATAAGACATAATTATAAATTATTAGATTAATAATAGATTATTAATAAAGAAATAAAATATGTTTTTATTTTTACAGATTTGTACTGAACTCTTAATTATATATTCATTATTTATGCGGGATGTAAAATACATCTTAGCTTTAGAAATTCACTAAATTGACCGAGCAAAACTTTTTTATCGAATAAATGCTCTCATCTACCTTAAAATTGATCATTTAATCCATATAAAAAACATATATATTTCATGAATAGATTCAACAGATAATCAATATAAGAATACATAACAGTGTAAGATGCATCCCGCGTAATAAAATGACTGCAATTTTTTATTACGTCTGCAATTTTATTATATATAAAATAGACATAATAGAGAGAAAAACATTATTACATAAAAATATATATAACATTAACGTTTAATGTTCAATTAATAATATAATTATATCTAGTCTAAAGTGTTATCTAGAGTATATAATAATTCAAAAAACTTCAGGATTTCACAATTATCAGAGAATTACATTTTTGCAATAATAATTACATTATTTAATAAGCCAAGAAAGTAATAAATAAAGTCTAACAAATAAATATAAATAAATAGTAATTTCAATTTTTACATGAACTAATGATCTTTTATATTTTATGATAGAACAATAAAATCAGAATGCTTTAATCAAGATGTGTTCTAAAGATTACAATGATTTTGAAGTAAAGTAACTGAAATATCAATAAAATAGATAAAGTCACATAATCCTTTGATATATTTTCTGATATATTTTTACGTTATAAACAATTTGTAATTTATTTTACACTATTTTCAAACATTTTAATGTTATTTTTTTTACAAATTTTATTAACTAAATTTGATTTATTATATTGTTTAAAGTTTAAATGTTGTTTATCAAGAAATAACTGGTAATTTTAATTAATAAATAAAAACTAATATATAAAACATCCACAAATTTCTTATTTACTAAATTTGCTTTAATGCAAAATACTTTTATTTAAACACTATAATATATAAATGAATTACTAAAAATAATTAAAACACTAAAAGTTTTATGTAAAAACTTGGCATTGCTAAATCTAATAAGGAAACAATAAAAACAATTAATAAGTAGTATATTAAGTCTTACATTAGTATAGTTCTGTATATTATTATAGTGTATGTATAGTCCTAGTATATTATTTATTTCGTATTTTTATTTCCTTATTATATTTTGCGTGCCAAGTTTTTTACAAAAAATTTTATTATTTAAATTATTTTGTTTTGTGTATATACTATTATATCTCTTTTTTTTTCTTTGTGATTAAATTTTTTTATTGAAATATACATATGAATTAAAAAATGTTTAATTTTATAAAATTATCACATTTTCTCTTCCTAAGATACAATTGAAAGACTCATATAATTTTTTTAGAAATACATATCATTTTGTTTAAGTAAGGTAATATACACACTATTTTATAATATAATAATTTTTTGAAGAAAAATTAAAGCTACTATAATTAGATTAGAATCAAAAGATTCTTCAATGGAAATACAAAGATACACCCCACTTATAGGTTATTGTATAGGGTACAAATTTAAGATAGTACTATACGAGTTTTATTTTTAAATTTGGTACAACTTTATAAAACGTATAACGTATGACTTTGGTTTTATTTCTTAAAATTTAAAGACAGTACTACTTGGATTTTACTTTTTAACTTTGTACAATAGTTTTTTTGATGGATATACAATGTATCAAAAAACCATAATCCCGAAAATTAAGAACTGAAATAATGTCCCAAATGTACCGAATGTATATCGCAAATTAAGAACAGAGAAAATTTTCCGTAATTTTATAAAACCGAAATGTCATAATACCGAAAACTAGAAACTAAGAGTGTCCCGAAATGACATAATACCGAAATAAAGAAACTGTACTGTAACTGTGAGACAATATTCCGAAAAGTTATAATTGCAAAAATTAATGTATCAAAATAATATCCTAAAATATAAATTTCTTAAAATATTTGTTTGAAATACACAAATAAATCACCATATCACGATATACGAAGAATTTTTTCTTGTAGAAAGAGGAACAATCAATGTATGGATCATGTACACATATCTTATTAAATATGTAATTCTAAATTGTAAATAATACATTTTATATTAAAAAAAAAAATATATATATATACACACATGTTATCTAAAAGAATTTATTAATATATGTGCGCTAGTACGTGAAATACACACTTTTATTTTATTAAGAAACTAAATCTTCTTCTTTTTCGCGTGCCATAAGCTTGTCAGCGCGTAGACAATCTCTTTCTGCATATATCCGTAGATATATGGGACCTACAGTTTTAACGCCGATTCCGAACGGCCTATTAAAAGAAATTTTTCTGGGCAAAGTTACTCTCGGTGGTTTGCCTTTGCCTTTCGAGAGGTGCCGATCGCTTTTAAATCGATTTAGAGTTATACTGTTTCTGGGTGGATTTGAACCTGGGTCTTTAGCACAGAAAGCCGACGCGCAACTCTCGCGCCACGATCGCCACAGGAAACTAGATACTTTTTATAATTATCTCTTTTGTCTAATATGACAATCTATCTATATTATAAAATAAAAATTTGTTTCATATTTCATCCGTATATTTTATTCATATATTTTTTAATATTTATTCTGACGTTTTTTTTTAGTATAATTACAATTTAACAATTTATTAAATAATCATATTAGAGATTGTAACACACACACACAGCAGATCATATAAAATATTAAATTAAAGAAATAATTATAAAAATTAGTATCTGGTTTCCCAATCAATTAAAAATATGTACTTTACGTACTAGCGTGCATATTAAATTCTTTTAGATAGAATGTGTATATATTTATAATATCTTTTAATATACATTTAATAAAATGTAATAATATTTATAATTTAGAATTATTTAAAAAGGTACATGTATATAATATGTTCATCGATTGTTCCATTTAATACAAGAAAATTCTTTGTATATCGTGATATAGTGATTTACTTGTGCAATTAAAAAAAAATATTTTAAGAAATTTATATGTTGGGGTATTATTTTGATACATTAATTTTTGTAATTATAACTTTTCGGGATATTGTGTCAGTTCTTTGATTTCGGTATTACCTATATCATTTCGGGATATTGTCTCGATTTCCAGTTTTCGGTACTATGACATTTCGAGCGATTATCTCAGTTCTTATTATTCGGTATTCTGACATTTCAGGGCATTGTCCTATTTTTCAGATTTTGGTACTTTTTTCGGGATATTGTATGTCCAACATTTTTTTTTAAGAGTTCATACACTTTAACGCATTTTATATCTTTTTATAAAAGGGTAATTTTATAAAAAGGTAGAGGAAAATACTTAAGAGACATGTGACGCATTTTACTTATTGTGTGTGAATAATAATTATTTTATTTTTAGTTGATCGAAATTAGCAGATTTAGTTGGACAAAGTCTATACCGAAACAATAATAATCCAGCAAACCTCAATCGATCGTGATCGATCTTGGTTAGAGTAAACCATCTCAATTACCAAGACCTGCTGCACCCTCCCAGGATTAGCCAATAGATTTACAATGGCTCACCGGGGGGTAATAACCTACGATGAAAATCAAGATACTAACGAGCTCTAACGAATCTTTCGGCACCTCGAACCATCTGTAGAATTGTTCTTAATGGGGTACCACTTCCGAGGGGTTTAGTCACCCCTGATTCGTGTCGGCGATTTAAATAATAGGAGCGCACAACGGGATCCACTTTCTAACGAGAATTCTGACGATCTGTCACGTGCTCGGAAATGTTTGCATGGAAAAAAAAGTAATCATTGTTTTATGAAATTAAGAGGTTATACCAGTGTAGAAGATCAAAAAATTGATTTTTTATTTCTATAAAAATGTCGTAAGACGTTAAAAAAATTTGAGCATTTAGTCTTCTATTGCTTGTCGAATGTCGTATCTATGCAAAAAATTTCCTCAATATTTTAAACACAATCAAGTTAATTTATAATGAATTAAACAAAGAAGATCTGCTGGAATGTTCGGATTTCAATAAAAATGTCAAGAAAAATTTCACTACTATTATGTAAGAAGTAATAATATTATATGAATAAAAAGATTAAGATATCTTTATTATAAAAATTGTAGTTGACATTGCTGATTATATTTAACGATGGCCACATAGGCTTACTGCAGATTTTAAGGATCATATATGATCTTAAATATTTATAACTATAATTATAAATATTGAAGATAATTATAAATATTTATAACTATAATTATAAATATTGAAGATAATTTATATAAATATTGTGAAAGAAAATAGATGCGCATTCACTATGCCGAGTGTTAGATATAACGCACTGCTTATATTAGAACTTGAACCAATTATGTAAAAAACTTTTTTTTTAATAAGAAGAAATTTTACTTATTGCAGAAAACTTATGTCTCTTATATGAATATAAAAATAGCTAACTAAAAATTAAAAAAATTAAAAATAATTATTATCTCTTATTATCTAATGAATAACAAGATTAAAATGTATTTTTTTTTTCTAAATCTTTAACTGCGTTGAGATTATACCTCTTTAATTATTAATGATTATCTGCAGTATGCAATTTGCTTAAAGTATTCCTCTATTATAAATGATAATCTCGTATTTTTCTTCTTTTACATAACTTTTTCATATTTAATAACAATTTCTTAAAAATTTAAACATTTTTTAAATTTGCAGTAATTTTTTTATAAACAAAAATGTTGGTTTTTGTAATATTCATGTAATGTTTTAAAGCTTTTAGTTTAAGAATATAATTGGTTTTTTGTTTTTAGATTAATTGCTTTGTCCAGAAGCTGTCAAACGCGACATACTTGTTTTTTCGGAAGACCTTAGTTTAACAAATAATTTTATAAATAATAATCATACAGTTAATTTATTTTACAAAATTTTTTGCAAAATATTGTAATATAAAAACCCGTTTTTTCTTGTCAAATTTAAAAAAAAATTATAGATAATATTCTGTATTCTTTTAGCGATATATATTGATCTAGTCTCTTAGTTTAATGAAAAAAAGGTTGTAAATCAATTAAAATAAATCCGCATGGAAAATATACTATATTTAATTAATAATTTTCTATCTAGATATATATTTTTGTGTATACTTTCTAATAATTTACGACACATTTCTCTTGTGTAGTGTATAGGTATATCAAAAGAGTATATTAAATAATTTTACGTATTTTGTATTCAGCTAAAATTACTTTGTCTTAAACTCTGCTTTTAAGATTAAATAGAAAATATATAATTTATTTATGTTACGGAAGCTTGAACAGTTTGTATTTCTTTAAGGATGTTTGGTACTTACAATAGTAGCAAAAAGTTAAAGAACTGATTTTGACGAATATGCTCTTCTCATATAGTTTGAGTAATAAGGATTGTGCAGAATGTTATCATTTATTCAGAACTAGAGCGCAGAAATGCTTCTGTTGCTTTTTTCCTGAGAATTTTTGAATTCTATGGCCAAATCTAACCAAAAAATTCAAATTAAAATCCTTATAACTTTGGATTGCTTCAGTGAATCGACTCCGGCTTTTGTCTTAAATCTTCCAACATATACAAGAACAATCTGTAAAATTTTTGTTAAATTCCTATTATTTTTAAAATTCTATAGGTATATAAAATTTTTATATTCTTTAATATATCCTATAGAATTTTTAAAATAATGAGAATTTAACAAAAATTTTACAGATTGCAGTTCTTATATATGTTGAAAGACTTAAGACAAAAGCCGGAGATTCACTGAAGCAATCCAAAGTTATAAGGATTTTAATTTGAATTTTTAGGTTAGATTTGGCCATAAAATTCACAAATTCTCAAGAAAAAAGCAACAAAAACATTTTTGGGCTCTAGTTCTGAATAAATGATAACATTCTGCACAATCCTTATTACTCAAACTATATGAAAAGAGCATATTCGTCGAAATCAATCCTTTAACTTTTTGCTACTATTGTACGTATTAAACACCCTTAAATAACATCAAAACATATTTTTATGAAAACAAAGACAAGTTCGAGGACATGGTTCAACAAAGTGATAAAATCAACCAGTGCTT